GCAGGTGTATGTACATGGAAGGTGTCACACCCCGAGGAGGGACAGGGTGGGTGTATGTGTGTAGACGGTGTCACACCCTGACGGACAGTGCAGGTGTATTTGCATGGAAGGTGTCACACCCCGAGGAGGGACAGTGTGGATGTACGTGCATGGAAGGTGTCACACCCTGACGGACAGGGTGGGTGTACATACGTGAAAGGTGTCTCACCCTGACGGAGGACAGCCATGCAGGGAGAGTCACACCCTGACATGGGACAGCTGTGTAGGGGCAGTTTTGCCCTAAGGAGGGACAGCTGCACCCAGATATCACCTCATGTGTGTGGCATCACTGCCTGTTCCAGCCTGCATGGATGCCACCCTGGAGGGCCTGTCCACCCAGTCTGCACGGTGGGGTCCTGCTGTTTACCCCCATCTCCCACACCTGCCTAGTGCAGTGGACCATCTGTGTCTGTGTCACAGGGGTGACCATGGGCAATGAGAGCAGGTCGGCGGGATCCAGAGCCCTGAGGTCTGAGCCACACCTGGCGTGTCCGCAGCAGAGCCAACGTCCCCTAGTAGCCTGTCACTCTTGATGGGCTCTCTCATGTGCCACTCAAATTAGTCATGTTTTCAGGGGGATGGAAGGCAAGTTAGCCTGGGACCCTGCGGTGGCTGCTCTCAGAGCGTGTGTCTGAGTGTACGTGACCTGTGTGCTGAGCTCTGTCCTCCTCCTACCTACAGGCTCCCTGCAGGATGCCACCAGCCACCCCGAGCAGGACGGCACCCTGCACTTGGAGGTGCAGGAGCCGGCCAGTGAGTGGCAGACCCTGGCCAACGTGTTCTGATGGAATTCTGGAGGACACGTCTACTCACATTCCTGAGGTCAAGTTCTGTGAAGAACAAAGCACTTGGCATTTTCCTTGAAGCTTCAGGTGTCAAAAACGTTAACACGATAGTTTTTAGCTATAAAATTATCGGAAGAATCACTGTCTTTCAGAGGCTTGGAGGGAAGGCCTGGGAGGGCAGGAGCCTGTCGTCCTCACCACCTCCGGTCACTGACCTCAGGCCCTCCAGCGGCAGGCTTGGCTTCTGCCACGCCTGGTGCGTCAGGCCACGGGGGATTCACTGGACTGGACGTCAGTGGGCACGGTTCTTCTGTGTCAGCAAAGACAGAGGACTCGGAGCAAGTAGGTGTGGCTTTACCTCAAGAAGCGGATCCTGAAGAGCAGATGCAAAGGCAGGAGGCGGGTGAAGCTCAGAAGATGAGTCGTGACACACAGGGAAGTTGTCTTGCTTTCTTCTGTGTGCCATTTTGAAAATCGGTCAAAGCGGACCCTTGGTAGCTACAGAAAGTTAACAAAACTAATCCTTCGAGAGGTGGCTGGCCCCACTCTCCCTCCATTAAGCACTGGGAGGTGGGACCGGGGGCACACGCCTAGGCCGAGTGGCCGCTGTCCCACAGGGCAGCACAGGTGCCGCAGCCCGTGTGCGGTGGGTGGCCGCTGCAGACAAGCACAAGCCATACGCAGGATAGGACAGACAGGGTTGTGGTCCGAGCAGAGGGCTGGCTGCTCTCCGCAGCACGGGGAGAGCTCGTGTCGTCGAGCAGAGGGCCCACACGCCCCCAGACGCTCTTCCCACATGTGAATGTGCAGTTTTATTTCAGGGAACCCTCCAGTATCATTGCCGGTGCCACGGTCAACAAGTCCAAACAGAACCCGCCCCCTTCTGACATTCCAAAGATGGAAGACCCCACCCCTGTAGTGTCTCCTTTCTGATTATTTATATGTTCTCTATGTAAATGCACATGTACATAGCAGGAAGCCAGGCCTCTGTGTGGCTGAGCATCCACAGTGTAAATAGGACCCCGTCCTTCCTGCCTACGAGAACCGCCCGCCAGCACTGGGCACGTCATCCCAGCCCATCTCCTTGCTGTAATTTAAAGCCGGGTTTTGCTTTTTTCCTGGAAAATAATTGCCTTTATTTTCTGCCCTGCCTCCTGGATTTCTGAAGAACCTAGATAACCTTACAAGCGTTGTGTGGACTTTGTACACTGAGACGTCATTTCACTGCTGTCTTGCAAGGGCACCTCTCGGTCTTTGGTTCTTGTTCACGTTTGGCTCTGTATATAAGTGACGTTCATGACGACATGAGAACTTTTGTTATGTGTGAATATTTAAGCCAGAAAACTGTTAAATAATATTACTTCTTTTCCAAACTGCTTTGTGTATTGTATATTTTTTAAGGGGGACAAAAAAGCCTTCTTCCGCTTCCTCTTGTGAACCTGGACTGCTTCTCGGTGCCAGGTGTCCCTCAGGGTCTGCACGCACTGGCTGCCTTCCGGGCGTGGCCACCCGTTCCCTTCAGGCCGGTGCTTTCAAAGTTCTGCTTCTCACGCACTTTTAAAAACCATTTTGTATTAAAGTATTGTAGTAATGTTGACTTATATTGATGACCAAATATCCCTGAGGTTGGAATGAATGGAGCTTTTACGTTCTTGTTCTTGCTGGGTTATTTATTGATTTTGCTCTTGGCCTTCCGTGCTCGCTGAGCATGGTGTCTACAAGGGGGTGTTTAGTCCCTAACTGTATCTAAAGCCTCACGGAGGGAACGCTGTTAGCTAACTGCCTGTGTAAGGAAGGCTTTAACAGGTGAATCAGAAACTATTTTCATTTTGGTTAAAGGAAAAAGAAGAAAAAAACCGAGTGATCCGTTTTGTGACTCCCTCGATCTGTTTGGCCGGCAGACACAGCGTGTGTGTGTTACTCTGGCGTGTCCTTACCACCAGCGCTGCTCCTTTGCAACACACCCCTTGAATTACAAGGTTTTGTAAAGATGTGATTTCACTCGAGTCTTTGATGGTTGATGTTTATGTTTTAATGAGAGCTGAAAAGTCTTCTTAGAAGGAGGTCTCTAGCCTCACACACAACCAGGGTTGGGAGGACAGGTAACTATCTATAGAAATAGCTCACCACAGCCTATCTGTTCTGCGGAAGCTATAAATAAAAAATACAATCAGGAAAGATGACTAATTTTTTTTCTTTTTTTTTTTTTGTTTGACATGGTATTCTGGCACGTTGCGCTGGCTTCAGGTCCCACTGTAACGAGGCTTTCCTACGAAGTCCAGACGGTGACCGTGTGGCCTCGAGCGGTCTCTCGGGAAGCGTCACATTTCTAGCTGGGGATGTGGCGTCGGGTCAGTGGGGGTCATTGGGGGTCATTGGAACGACCCGAAGGGCCTCCCTGGTTGGTCCTATGGGGGTGGCATAGACTTTGAGGAACCGTGGAAAGTTCACCTCGTCTTTAACACACATTCATGGTGAAGGAACTGTGAGGCATTTATGTAGAACGGAAGAATGGATTCCTTTTCCAAAGATGTTTAACTTAAAACCAAGATCTAATTTACATGGTGTTGCGCTAGTGGGAGGAACCTGGGAGGTATTCTAGGCACAGATCATGCAAAAGTCATTTTTATGTTTGTTTGTTTTTAATAGAATGACAGTAGCTTAAAGTAAAAACATTTTTCCTAACATGTGAAGTCAGTGGCCTCCTCCCCTGGCCCCTGGAGTTCTCCTTTTGCCCGCTGCTAGTGTCCGGGGATCTCGGAGGGTCCCCGTCGCCCGTGGTGGACAGCTGATGTCCCAGAGCCAGGGGCAGGTGCTCAAGCATCTGGACCCCCACCCCAGCCCTGGCCCCCTTTCGTGTCTTGCTGACGAAGCTGGGGGCTTGGGGGAGGCCTTGTCTCGGCCTCGGAGGCGGGGTGTTGCTCCCACGTTGTCGTTGTGTAGGGCACGTGGATTGCATTTTATAGAACCACGGCTGGTGCGCTGTCAGCTTCTCAACTCAGGTTACATTTCCGGGTTCAGGGGTGCGGGGTTTGCGCGGATCGATTGTCAGGAAGGAGTGGTCTTTTGCTTTCCTTTTTTCAGAAGAGGCTTTGCCACTCATTGGGGTGCAGGTGTGACATCGGGTGGCTGACTTGTGTAGCTGACATGCTTCTAAGGAGAGCTTTTAGGACGCAAGACAGCTTTCCTGCTGGTTGTCAACTGCGTCTCACCCCCCCTTTTGCTGAATTTCCCCAGAAGCTTATTTCAAAGTTGAGACTTTATGCACCTCAACCCTCTAAAACGTTCCGATGCTGACTAGCGGGGCCTTTTCCTAAAATCTCGCGGCAGAGGGCAGCGAGGTGGGACCCAGGCCCTGAGCTCCTGCGCGCGCTCTTTGCCTCGTGAGCGCTGCGCCTGCGTTTCTGGGTGGATGGCAGTGGGGCTCCATCCCTGCCCTGCTCGGCGGACCACGACGCAGCTGTCGGGCCTCTCCTTTGCTATAGACGCTTGGAAGTCATTCTGAAGTCAGGCTGTATCTTCATTGTTTAAAGAGGGGGCAACAATTCTTTGGCAAGATGAGAAGCCTACCCATAAAGGCCTCCTCTTGGGCTTGGGACGGTGAGTCCTGGCCGGCCCCTCGCGGGCACACGCTCCAGTGGGCTGCTTGCCCGCCTCCCACACTGCCCACTCTGCGTGCAGACACAGACGCAAGGGTGGCATTTTATGTGAATGACAACTAAAATACGTAAGCACTTAAAGGTTGGTTCTTAGGCGGACAGGAGTGGTAGGCGGTAGTCATGGGTGTTTGCGGTTTCATCTTGTGTGTGATGCCGTCAGCATGAGGGTTTTTGGATTTTTATGTTAAATCAAGATTTGTATTCTGTTTGACACGTTCTAAAATAGAGTGAATCGTGATTGATCTGCAACTAAAGAAAACTTTTTATTATTTTTTAATTTACAGAAGAATTCCTTTTTGTCTTCAAAATTGTTTCATGGTTGATTGATATATTGGATGATGATTATTTGGTCCAATTTTGTATCAGAAATAGTAATGCCAAAAGCCAATGGTGCTGGCTTTCAATACAATAAACAGAGTTTTTGTACGACTTTAAAACCCCTGTATGTTTACTTTGGGCTCTGGGGCGTTTGGAGTGGGCACCGGGCTCTCCTCGTAGTGTTCCTGGGTTCCTGCAGCACCACCTGCTGACATTGTAACCGTGCAGACCCTGGGCTTGAGCCCCTGAGGTGGCCTCTTCCCTGTCCCTGTGGGCGTCTTCCGGGTCCTGCGCCTCTGAGGGGCCGGAGAGGAGCGGTGAGGTGGAGCACACGTCATCTGGCACCTGGCCGTCTGTGGAAGGTGCTGGGGTGTGGACTTGGCCAGAGGTGCTGGGCAGGTACTTCAGCGTGTCCGCACACTGGTTCAGATGAGGTTCACTTCTGAACTGAGGCGCCTTTAGTGGCAGCGCGGGATCCTGTGGGGGTCCCCAGCCAGGTGTTGCCTCTCCCTCCTGTGCACGGCAGGGACTCGGAACCGAGGGGCTCCAGGGAGCCGCTGGGTTTGACTTCGTCCTGGTTCAGAGGGAGTAAGAAGAAGTTGCTGTGCCATCTTGTGGCTTGTCCGTCTGTCAGGGCCACATCGTCCGGCAGATTTAACTGCATGCTGGGGGGAAGAGGAGCACAGGCTGTCAACCTTCAGATGATGGAAATGCGTCCCCACAGCAGTGGGTCACCCTGGCTGTGGAAAATGCTTCTCTGAGTCCCAGAGTGCTGGACTCGTCCTCACCATGCATGGGGAGGGCTTTTACTTCAACATGCAGGACTTCCCTGAGCTCTGGCCCCGTCCCACCCAGTAGCCAGTCCTCCCTGTGCATGGGCAGCCCCTGGAATTCCTGAGCTCTGCTTCTGTCCCACTCAGTAGCCCCCTGTGAGTGTGGCAATCCCTGGCCTTCCCTGAGCTCTGGTCTCGTCCCAGTAGCGCCCTGTGTGTATGGACACCCCTGGCCTTCTTGGCCTCACGGGACCTGCAGCTCTGTGGGCCTGGGCACATGCTGGCACTGACGACTGGCACTGCGGTGAGGAGGCAGCAGCCTTTGTCTCTAGTCACGGACGGTCTCCTGCCAGCACGAGACGGGGGCAGCGTGGGGGCTGGCTGGATGAAATGTCAGCCTCTTCCTAGTTCTTGGCCACACTGTCCTTTCTCCTGGGGGCCTGGGTATATGGCTCTCTAGCTGAGCGCCTGTCCTCCTCGGCCGGCCGGTGCAGGCTGGCCGAGGTCAGCGGGTGGACAAGCACCCTCCTGTGAACGGGACTCCTTCACAGATGCTGGCGACTGAGCCACACCTTCTGTGGTGCCTGCTGGGGTCACTGCTGAGGGCTTTGTAGTAGTGCCGCCTGGTACTTTCAGAAGGACCTCTGGTGATGCAGCGGTGAAGCACTTGCCTGTCAACTAAAAGGTCCTTCCTTCAAACCAACAGTTGCTCCCCAGGAGACAGATCAGACAGTCTGCTTCAGTGAACACTGACAGCCTGGGAGACCCTGTGGGCAGTTCCACTCTGTCCTCTAGGGGCGCCGTGGGTTGCCATCCACTCCACAGCAGTGGGTGTGGTTTGGATTTAGTACCTTTGAAGCAGTAAATCTCCTTCATCCCCGAGAAAGGCTGGAAAGTGACAATGGGTGCACCCCTATGCTACCTCACAAGCCCCTCTCTTCCCTGCCCTTAAATAGGTGCTTCTCCCTGATTTTCTCACTCCAGACAAAGCAGGAGAGCTGGCTTTATGCCACCGTTCTGGTGATCAGCACAAAGTCGTCCCTCGTGACCCAGCAAATGGAGTCTGGGAAGACATTCTTGGAGTCAGCACAGCCAGCCACCTGGAGGCTCTGGCCACTGGGCAGCTCTGGGAAGGACGTGCAGCAGCAGGCGCTGTGGGGAGGACCTCGGTTGTCTGGGGTCTCTCAGTCACCCCTGTCTAGTTTCCCCTCCGCAGTCCTTAGCCTCAGCGTAACCCGGTATTTCTGAGGCCATGCAGAGAATTTCGGTCTGTCCACGTTGGTTAGCACGGGGGGCTGTCCAGATTGAAGTGACGTAAGGCACTACCACCGCGTGTCTTTGTTCTGATGGAGAAGAACACACCCTTTCTTCAGTAGGTTCTCTTGAAAGCTGGGTGCAAGCAGCGGAAGTGCTCGACTGCTCACAGAAAGCGCGAGGGTTTGAGTCACCTGTGGCACCTCGGGGGAAGGCCTGGTGGTCACTGACGGTGGAGGGCAGCCCTCCTCGGACCCACGGGGCCCGGTGAGTGGAGTCCACTTGATGGCACCTGGTTTTCTGCTTGGAAGGGTTCTGTGCTCACCATTCCCACCTCGAGAGCAGGACGTGCCTGGGGAGACTGGTCCTGGCAGCCTTCTCAGTGCACAGCCTGGCACGTGTAGCCCACACTGGGCGCTGTGCAGCTCTCTAGCTGAGCGGTCAGCGGGACACAGGCTATGTTCGGTTTCTGGTCTGCATTGCTTTGTGTTAAAGTACTTACCAGGGTATCGAGTCACTGGTGAAAGCTCCGTGCCTGGCAACAAGCCCTTCATTTACTGCATCTTCCCCACACCGTCGACTTGTCAAGCACCTGCAGCTACGCCCCCGTTACTGCCCCGTCACTGCCTGGTCCTCACAGTCGTTGCTGTGCTTGTAACAGTAAGTAAACCAACAACTGATATAAGTCAGTTTTTCTGGTGCGACTCTGCACGATGTTGCGACTCTGTGGGCCCGGGACTGTGGACCAGTACAAGGAGAGAGGAGGCAAGGTGGGCAGTGGGCCTGGACCCACTGCCCCCTCCCTAGCTGAGCCCCAGGCTTTGGGCCCAGGGACCTGTCCAGGTCCTGGACCGAGTGAGCACCAGGTCTCCAGCTGTCCTGCACTCTGACCTTGTGCTAAATCCAGAAGGAAGTGCTGGGAAGCCAAGGGGACGGTTCACAAAGCTGCAGCTGTTCTGGGGCTCAGGGAGGGGCCGCCTCGTTTCAGATGGTTTGCAGATGGCGTCTCGTGGACACCACTTCGTATCTTGTGGAAAGAGCATTCTCGTGAGCAGAGGTGGCTTGTAGCCTGCATTCTAAATGGCACTGTCCCTCTTTGCCTAAGGAGATGTCCCAGGAGTGAGTCTAGGTAGTATTTTAAGGAGCCCTGGTGGTGCAGTGGTTAAGGCATTGGGCTGCTAACCAAAAGGTTGGGGTTTGAACCCACCAGTTGCGCCACGGAAGAAAGATGGGGCAGCCTGCTTCCGTAAAGATCCACAGCCTTGGGAACCCGGTGGTGGTTGCCGAGTCGGAAATGACTCCACGGCATAGGGTTGTTGTTGAAGTAACACTTCAGAAGACGGTAGGAAGGTACCCTGGCAATTATGCCCACCTCGGGTGAGACATGGGCGTCCTCCGGCCATCCTCTGCTCCCCACCTGTCTTAACCACCTGCTGACAGCGTGACTTCACAAAATGGGAAGCTTTACACAAGACAAACTCATCAACTGGGCAGGCCATTGCTTCCCACAGGCCCCCAGTCTACAAGCCAGAACACAGAAGACACGCACACAAATCTCATTAAACACTTATTATTTTATTTTGATATTCAAGAAGAGTGAATATTTCCCATAAAACCCGATGCTGCACGTGTGGGGTGGGTGTGGCCAGGAATCGATCCAAACGCCCAGCCACCTGTGAGCTCAAAGGCGCAGGGGCTGCTGCTGACAGCGGGGAGAAGGCTTTCTGGAATTTGTCTGTCTCTTACCCTTGTCATGGAGGCAATCTAGTAACAGGTGTCATGTTAAACCACGGGACACTAGAATTAGAAGGGGATGAAAATGACACCTTGGGGCTTTTTAGTGGCGGACCCTCATCTTTGTTCTGAGGGGCTGGATGCCCCGGTGCAAAGCTCTTCAGAAGGTCTGCAGAAGACATGCGTAACTCAAAAGGTGCGGGTCAGTGCGTTAGGAGAGGTTAAGGCAATGTCAGCTTGTTAGGGAATGGCTTCGGAGCACCCACCCCCCTTGGCCGGCCGGGTGCAGGCTGGCCGAGGTCAGCGGGGTGGACGAGCACCCTGCTGCTCTAAGGCAGCACGTACAGCTGGCGCTGAGAGGGGTGGCGGCATGTTATCTTCTCCCTGAGGATTAGTATGGCTGTGGGCACTGCCACCACGAGCACACGTCTGGCCCCACGCAGCTAAAGGGGCCAGCGAAACACTGCGAACAGGAAAACCAGCGTTACCACTCTGAGACGCACGACAACGGAAGCTTCCTGCTTGGCGCTCCTTCGGACACTGGGCTGGTGTGACTGGGGAGGCCACTGGGCTCCGGGCGCCCAGGGCCCCAGCGTGATGACATGGCCATGCCACTGCTCAGCCCGCTTCCCGTCGGAGGCCAGTGCCAGGCCGAGCTGGACGTCCATTTCCTCTCTGTGCCACGCATGCTTTCAGCGGATCGGGGTGTGGTGAGCAGAGCCAGCCAGCGGGCACTGCCTCTCCCGCTGCACCACTCGGAGCTCTAGCAGCTGCCCGGGCCACCGTCACGTACCAAAGTTTCATCAGCAAACCCTCCTGACTGCCCAGTCCTGTTATGGGGACCTAGTGTGGTGGAGGCGAGAGGAGGCGGGGACAGCAACCAAAGGGAGCCGGATCAACAGTCTGCCACCCACACAGCAAGTCTCGTCTCTGCAGCAGTGTGCTGGATGGCAGTGCCCACAGCGAGGGCTCAGGGCCACAGCCGGCACGGGGTCCGACGGAGGAGGGGCGGCCCAGTGCTGGGCACAGGCCGAAGGCCACAGTCGGCAAGGGCACGGGGTCCACAGGTGGAGGCATGGGCTGGCGTGGACCCTTTGGAGACTGGTCTGGGTAGCTGGGCGGGTGGCAGCGGGCTGCGTCATGGGGAGTCAGTGAGCATGTCTCCACACGTAAAGGGACCGTGTTCTGTGTCCGTGTCTCTAGGATGAGGCGCGATGGGCCTGACTGAGACAACTCAACGGGCGTTAGGGGGAGGACGTGCTGTAATGAGGAAACTTAGGCAAATGTATTAGGGTTTTAGGGCAGTTGGATTAACAAGCAGAGTACAGGGTTCTGAGATGGCTACGTGGGCTTCAGCGTCTTGCCATGGGTGAACCAGAACGGCTGCCAGCTCCACCCTGGGGAGAGAAGACAGGGGTAAGGGGACTGCAAGGGCCACAGGTGGCCATCAGCATGGCTTCCCTGGGACAGGGCTGTGGTGACGAAGGCTGCGGGGGCCACAGGCGGCCGTCAACCTGGCCTCCTGGGGGACAGGAGCATGGTGTCGGCAGTGAGGGCCACGGGCAGCCGTCAGCATGGCCGCCCCGGAGGCCGCCCTCTTGTGTCCTGCAGCCTCCCCTCCTCCTCCCCAAGGCCACACAGGGCCCGTCTACAAACTGACTTAGAAAGTTCTCAGGCCCACGTGCTGTCTGAGCAACTGTGAGTCCAGAAGTTTCTTCCAATTTAAGCCACGCAGCCGCCGAGCCGGGACACAGCACCCGGTGTGTGAAGCCGGAGAGGAGTAGGTTGTTGAGGCAGAGTCGGTCGCTCGGCTGGCAGAGGAAGGGGCACTGTTTTTCTGCGTTCGATTTTTAGTGTCTTTTTCTCTTTAGGTTTGTCTCTTAGGCTGTGAACCAAGAATTGGTCTCTGCAAGATCCCCTTCCGCGCTCTTGGCCCAGCGGCGGCCATTCCACGCCTGCGCTGCCTCCAGGCCCGAGGAGGAGAGATGGTGCTGCGCCTGGCCCCGCCCCCAACGCCAGCAGGACGGTCCGGCCTTGGGGTTGTCTTTCTGAGTCCTCTCTACGCGGTCCCACCCGAGAGTCCTTGCATTGTTGCTGAGCCAGTGGGTTAAGGAGCTGCTTTTGCAAACTGAAGATGTTCTGGAAGTCTCCCCTCGGGGACAGCCAGGGGCCCTCGGGAGCAGCGGCCACGCGGGGCAGCGCCTCCACGCCCGGCCTGGAGCCTGTTACAGGCCCGAGCTGCTGCCCCGAGAGTGGCTGGGGGTGCTCAGGCTTGGTCTCCCCGCGCTGAGAGGTCACCGGGCACCACTCGGACAAGCTAGGCTGCTGTTTCCTGAACCTGCATGCGGGTACCCTTTAGGGCTCCAGCCAGCAGCAATGTGAGGAGCGAGGTTCGCTAGTGAGGTTGCGTGGGCACTGCTCCGCCCCAAAGTGCGGAGGGGGCATGTCTGATGCCCTCTGGTAAGACACCTGACGCGGGCTGCATCCTAACTGCCCCGGGCCCCTCGAAAGCTGAAAACGTGGGGCTGCTCTATTGTAAACTACAGCCCGACAACTGAGAGAGCGCCTTTAGGAACCAAACTCCTCACGCGTTCGTGCTCATGGCCAACGCCTGGGGCCGGTGTGCTTCCGGTCCCCACGTGAGCTGCAGCAGCTCAGAGGGCTGTTACTTGCCCGACGTCGGCCAGCACAGTGACCCTGGATTGCAACCAGCGTTTCCTGGACTCTCTCTCCTGCTTTTCCGTCTCACTTCTGACCACGTTGGAATATCAATGAAAAATACTTGGCCTGCTCGGGCTGAGGTCAGTGTATAAGGATGGATTCACGCATTGGACGGACGCCTTTCTTAGTGCAAAGAAAGAAGGGAGCCTAAGGCAGAAGTCACGGCTTCGCCTCCCACTCGCTCGCACGCATGAGTGCAGACGTTGTGGGGCGATGTCCCAGCGCGCCTCCTGAGGTAAGGCACCCCCGCTGCATTCCCACCTAACTCATTCTTTCCAACTCGGTTTCCTGACTGGCAACACCCGACAGCCGCGTTGGCGTCCTTTCCCCTCAAGCGTTTTCCAACAGTCGAGAGAAAGACAAAATGACTCGCGCTGTTGGAGTTGCAGGTGCTGCGAGCTGATTCAGGCTCCTAGCCATGCTGTGGGACAGAGCACAACTGCCCGCCCACAGGGTTTGTGAGGCCATCTTCTCTGTGCAATGAGCGCCATGTATCTTTCCCCTGCGCAGCAGCCGCTGGGTTTGAACCACCAACTTTTCCATTCACAGCCGAGCGCTTCACCAGTGCGTCACCAGGTGCTCCGCCAGCTGCTGTGACATCCCCACCATCCTCACCAGCTGTCTTCGAGCCGCTCTGGCCGACGGGGACGGCTCCATACTGGCTCATCCAGCGGGATGCCTGGTACCACCACCTGAAACGCTGCCCACGTGGACTTCTGTGCCGACCTGTGGACACTGGGACGCAGAACGTCGAGGGAGGGCACGAGGACACGTGATCCTTCTGAGCTCAGTTCAGGGCCCTGTCTCCACAGTCAGGTGTCGTCAGGGTCTCTGCTACTCAAATCACAGGGACGAGTTTACTCTCAACCTCGACTTCGCCTCCAATTTTACACTGGGAGTCGGTTTCCTCCGACATCAAACAAGGCAGCAGTCGGCCCCCACAGAGACTCGTACACACCCAGCACCAAGCAAGAGTGCCGGCTGCCTCGGGTGCACCATGAAGACAGCCGCTTGCCTTGATGTTTAACGACTCCTGCGTGGACGCCTCTTTCTGTATCCAGAAAAACAGGTGGCCCACAAGCCTCCAATCAGCCACAGGGAAAGCCACGGGGCATCTCGGTGTCTGGGTCATTTCCAGGCCCGCAGGCTCAGAGGTCCTGTCCTGTCCGCGCTGTCCTGACATCCAGGGAAAGCCACGGGGCATCTCGGTGTCTGGGTCATTTCCAGGCCCGCAGGCTCAGAGGTCCTGTCCTGTCCGCGCTGTCCTGACATCCAGGGAAAGCCACGGGGCATCTCGGTGTCTGGGTCATTTCCAGGCCCGCAGGCTCAAAGGTCCTGTCCTGTCCGCGCTGTCCTGACATCCAGTCCAGGGATTCCAAACCCAGGCCGCTCCTCTGCTGGGCTCCCGGAGCCCCCCGTTTCTGGGACTGCAGCCTGGGGTGGGAGTCAGGCAGCCCACTGCCCGGCCTTCAGTGTCAAGCTCCAAGCCACTGAAGGCCGCAAGGGTTCATGCACCTGGCGGCAGGGGTGGCCTGTGTCCTTCCACCATCCTCGTCTCCTGTGCACTGGGTGGCCCTGGCCGCCCTTGCTCGCTGCCTCCCACCTCCCACCTCCGAGAACTCACTGTGGCCTATTCTGTCCGCATAATGAGGGGCTGGCTCCTCGTTTCCTGAGTGCTGCCAGACAGCTCTGCTCAGCAGGGATCCCGGCGGCTTCCTGCCCCTCTGTCATGTGCAATCCGTCCTCCTCATCCCTCTGACCTGGGTCCCCTCCGAGGGAGGTTTGTCCCCAGCACTCAGAGAGGCACGGGGGACACGCCATGTCTACCGAGTGGCCCGGGGACGCCGAGCGTCCGCCCACAGGGCCCAGAGTGGCACGGGGGACGCCCGGCGTCCGTGCAGAGCCACCTGTGTGGGGAGACCCTGGAGGCAGCGTGCCCGTGGTGGCTCCCGGAGGTTCCTCGCCTGCAGCTGAGCCCCCCGAGCGTGACCCACACCTGACCTGGCGCATGGCCAGCTCCGCCCTCGGCGCGGTGCTGGCATCAGGAGTGAGCAGGACACGTGCTGGGCAGCAGGTGGAGTTCAGTTTAACCGAGGCTCTTCCACCCCCGGGGTGGGCCAGTGGCGGAGCCTGGGAGCCTCACCCCAGGAAAGGGGTGTGGGGGCTGGGCCCCACCTCCGCCCTGGCCTGCAGGCCCACCCGCAGGGCCGGCCCGACTACGTTACCAGCTTGAAGATCCTGGACAGCGTGCCCTGCGCGTCGTGGGCCCCCTTCAGCCCCTTGTGTGCGGTGGATGCTCGGGCCCCATAGCCGAACACGGGCTTCTGCCCCTCAGCTCCCTGCAAAGGACAACCATCTCAGGGCCCGGGCGGCACAGGGCGGCCAGTGGTCCCCCAGGGGCCACGTGGAGGGACCAGCACCCCACAGTGGTCTCGGGTGACGTGTGCAAGTGGGGCTGGTGGCGCTGGCGGTGCTTGTCGCGCCAGGTGCGGGTGGTGCGCTGGCCCCGGCGGAAGCCGCAGCTGACCAGGCCGCGGCTGTGCAACGAGACACCCGGCCCAGATGTGTTTACTTTGAAGACCACTCTCTCTGTCCAGCTGTTCCCCTGCTTTCCTAGAGAAGAGCAGCAAGCGTCAAGCAACACAAGGGCAAAAGGCACTTCACCGCAAGGTTAGTGGACTGGGGCATCAGAGCGGGCCCAGCACAGGCTCTCGCCGGCCCCTGAGGGGGAGCACCAAGTACCCACACCCGGGGCCAGCGGTGCACATCCAGGGGGCTCCGTGGGCCCCGCTCGTGGGGGGCGGCCTGGCCCAGCCTTGGGGTCCTGAGTGTGCTGGGCTCTGCGGGCTGCGACTGGCTGCTGCCCTTCCTGCCACCGTGACGGGAGGGAGAGCGTCCTGGTGAGAGGCTCACCTCGCCCACCTCATCTAATCACCCGGATTTTGGAGCTGCAGCAAACGGGACCCCGAGGTGCACGGCCTTCCAGGCTAAGCAGCTGGTCTTCGGCAGGAGTGCCAGGAGAGTTTGTCCAGACGCCCAGCAATCCCTCCGCTTCTCACGTTCCGTTTCCATTCAGCCTGCACTTTGCGGGATGGGCCACCAGGCGCCAGACCGTTTTCACGTGGAAAGTTGGTTTCAAGGACATCATTAAGGCGGGGAGTGGGGAGAGGTACGTGACAGATGGGGTGTAAGCACCGGCCCTAGAGCAGGCCAGCCACCGCCCGCCTCACAGGGTCCACGGACACACTCACTCCCTGCTGGCACAGGAGGGTGGAGGTGCGTGCAGGGCACCGTGCCAGACTGTGGACAGACGGACGTGAGGAACACCACTCCTCCTCACGCCACTGCTGGTCATTCCGTGTCACTCTGTGGTTTTCCTTCCCAGACAGAGCGCTTCTGAGAACTACATTCAGGGATGGAATCTCAGGTTAGGAACCCACTGGACGCTTCCTCCTGTCCCAACCACTGCATCTCTGGGCAACCCTGAACGCAGCAGGGAGCTGTCACCCTGCAGGGGGAGGAGGGGCGCACGTCAGAGACGGGGAGCACACCCGCTGCCCAGGAGGGCTTTGCTTTGGAGGAAGAGAGGAACCGCGTTAGTCCGACCAGCACTGGGGCCGTGCGGAGAGCAGTGGGAACGTCCTGTAGCCGGTGGGCTGGCGGGCTCTGGAGATGGCTGGGGCAAGTCCGCCCCGTGGCCCTCCTACTGCACAAATTCACAGGGGACTTTGGATCACGCCCAGAGACGCCTAGAAAATGAAGAGGCAGATACAGTCGGGGCTGCAAAAAGCTTTTTGAGTCAGAATGGCCTTCATGCTTGAGCTTCATCTCTGTCTCCTGCTGGCACGGGAAGTCAAGGGTTAACTGGCCGTGACTGAGGGTCCTGTCCCTGTTGGTCTCCTGCATGCACACCGTCCTTTCACAAACGTGTGAGGACGACAGAAGCAGGTAGGACGTGTATCCACATACAACGTTCTAGCTCACGTTCGCCCGTGGCCCAGTGTAACAGCACGCCAACATTCAGGACGTTTCTGGAACCTTCCTCCACCTCCTCACAGGTGCTCCCTCTCACCCCCTATTTCTCTCCCCGCTTCCTTCCTTCCATTAAAATCCGTTCCAGCACTTGCGGCACGCTCCCCGACGGCACCAAGCGTCCCCGGGTGCTGGGCTGGGAACGAGGACCCCGGGCCCGGCGCGGACTCAGCTCCTGTCTCCTGGAGCTCGTGCCGGGCTGCCAAGGCGACTGTGACTCATGGCAACGCCGTGCGCCCCACAGGGCTGTGCTGCACAGGGTTTCGCTGGCTGTGGTCTCCAGGCCTGCCTTCCAAGGCGCCCCGGTGGACGTGAACTTCCGGCGCCCTGTCCACCAGCTGAAAGCTTAGCCGTTTGCAGCCGGTGCAGCCTTGGTGTGTCGGCATGGTGCTTACGCTTCTGTCTCATTTTGAAAATGGTCCTTTTTAGAGAGTAAGGTCCCTACCTAACGGCGGACCGTAACCAAAGGCTACGTGTGTGCTGGGTACGTGAGGAGCCCTTGAGTTGCCTCAGACACCACGTGTCCTGAGCACCTGCAAGGACCGCCAGTTCCTCACTTGAAATCTCTCACGGAACCCGACTCTCGGCACTAAGAAGCACAGGATCCCTCAGGAAGTCTCCCCGAAGGCTGGACTCCTGGGTCCAGTTGTCACTAAAACATAAACCCAAAGACGGGTTAATGAGCTGAAAACAAACTGAACAACTGATCGTGGCTTCTCCTTTTTAGGGGCGGAGTCAACAATGCCCCCCTCGGGAAGGGCTACTGCAGGGGTCAGCAGCCAGAGACTTTCAGGAACTATCTTCCTCATGGCTGCACTGGAAAAAAAGAACTTTTCTCCAACACGGTGTCGTTCCTTCCCCACGAGAGAACCGGTGGGTCTTCCAGAAATCTCGGGAAAACCAGCATCTGATCTTGCAGCATGGGGCCCAGAGATTCAAGTGCCGATGGGGCAGCCCTCAGGGAAGCCCGTCTCCCACTCTCCCCTGAACACCCTTACAGAGAGCAAGATGGGGCCCGTGAGGAAAGGGAAACAGAGCATCCAAGTTGGGCGACTGCGGGGCAGGAAGGACGGAAGTGGACTGAAGTGTCACCTACCCAGCTAAATCGGCTGAGGGACAATCCTCTCCCCTGTGTGAGGAAGACAGAGAAAGGGAGACATGGCCGTCAGTGCAGAAGCAGTTATTTCAGCAAACAAGCCCCACGATCAAGCGGGAATCAGGTTGAGATGGAGAACAGGTGTTACCACACCAGCCATGGCCAGCGGGCACCCCGGCTGCCAGAGATTTGAAGTCCCGGGTCTCCAGGGGAAGACAGCTTGGGCTGGTCAGCACTGCGCCCAGGAGCAGGTGGAGGGCAGGTGCAGGAGGCGGATAGGTGTCGGGGTCGGTCAGCACGCCCGGGGCAGGTGGAGGACAGGTGTTGTGATCTGTCAGCACTGCACCCAGGTGCAGGAGGACAGGTGTCAGGGTCAGTCTGCATACCCAGGTGCAGGAGAAGGACAGGTGTTGGGGTCGGTCAGCACTGTGCCCAGGTGCAGGTGGAGGACAGGTGTTGGGGTCGGTCAGCACTAGGCCCAGGTGCAGAAGGACAGGTGTTGGGGTCGGTCAGCACTGGGCCCAGGTGCAGGAGGAGGACAGGTGTCGGGGTC